TACACTGTGGTCAGAGCGACTGTGATGATTTCTTTCTTTCGCATTTGCTGAGGAGTGTTTTACTTCCAATTATGTGGTCAATTTTAGATAAGCGCCATGTGGCACTGAGAAGAATGTATATTCTGTTGATTTGGGGTAAAGCGTTCTGTAGACATCTACTAGGTCCATTTGATCCAGAGCTGAGTTCAAGTCCTGAATATCCTTGTGAATTTTCTGTGTTGTTGATCTGTCTAATATTGACAGTGGAGTGTTAAAATCACCCACTACTATTGTGTGGGAATCTAAGTCTCTTTGTAGGTCTCTAAGAACCTGTTTTATGAATCTAGGTGCTTCTGTATTGGGTGCATATATATTCAGAATAGTTCTTGTTGAATTGTTCCTTTCATCATTACGTAATGCCCCCCCCTTTTTTTTAAATCTTTGTTGGTGTAAAATTTGTTTTGTCAGAGACTAGGGTTGCAACTCCTGCTTTTTTTTTTTTTTTTTTTTTTTTTTTTTTTTGCTTTCCACTTGCTTCGTAAATTTTCCTCCATCACTTTATTTTCAGCCTGTGTGTATGTCTTTGCATGTAAGATGGGTCTCCTGAATACAGCACACTGATGGGTCTTGACTCCTTATCCAATTTGCCAGTCTGTGTCTTTTAATTAGGGCATTTAGCCCAATTACATTTAGGGTTAGTATTGTTATGTGTGAATTTGATCCTTTCATCATGATGCTATTTGCTTATTTTGCACATTAGTTGATGCAGTTTCTTCATACTGTCATTGGTCTTTATATTTTGGTATGTTTTTGCAGTGCTGGTACTGGTTTTTCCTTTTCATATTTGGTGCTTATTTTAGGAACTCTTGCATGGGAGACCTGGTGGGAAAAAAATCCCTCAGCATTTGCCTTTCTGGAAAGGATTTTATTTCTCCTTCACTTATGAAGCTTAGTTTGGCTGGATATGAAATTCTGAGTTGAAAATTATTTTCTTTAATAATGTTGACTATTGGCCCCCAATCTCTTCTGGCTTATAGAGTTTCTGCTGAGAGGTCTGCTGTTAGTTTGATGGGCTTCCCTTTGTGGGTGACCTGGCCTTTCTCTCTGGCTGCTCTTAACATTTTTTCCTTCATTTTGACCTTGGAGAATCTGACGATTATGTACCTGGGGGCTGAACTTCTTGTGGAGTATCTTAATGGTGTTCTCTGTATTTCCTGAATTTGCATGTTGGCCTGTCTTGCTAGATTGAGGAAGTTCTCCTGGATAATATCCTGAAGTGTGTTTTCCAGCTTGTTCCCATTCTCCCCATCTCCTTCTGGTGCTCCAATCAATTGTAGGTTTGGTTTTCTTAGGAAGTCCCATATTTCTTGGAGGTTTTGTTAATTCCTTTGCATTCTGTTTTCCTTATTCTTGTCTGCCTGTCTTATTTCAGTAAAGTGGTCTTCAAACTCTGATATCCTTTCTTCCACTTGGTTGATTTGGCTGTTGATATTTGTGTATGCTTCACAAAGTTCTCATGCTGTGTTTTTCAGTTCCATCAGGTCATTTATGTTTCTCTCTGAACTGGTTATTCTAGTTAGCAATTCCTCTAACCTTTTATAAAGGTTCTTAGCTTCTCTGCATGTTAGAACATGCTCCTTTAGGTCATTGTAGCTTTTTATTGTCCATCTTCGGAAGCATACTTCTGTCAATTGTCCATCTGATCATCTGTCCAGGTCTGTGCTCTTAGAGAGACATTGTGATTATTTAGAGGAGAAGAGGCACTCTGGTCTTTTGGGTTTTCAGCATTTTTTCACTGGTTCTTTCTCATCTTTGTGAGTTTGTCTAGTTCTGGTCTTTGAGGCTGCTGACCCTTGGATGGGGTTTTTGTGGGGCCCCTTTTGTTGTTGTTATTGATGCCGTTGTTGTCACTTTCTGCTTGTTTCTTTTCCTTTCAGTAGTCAGGCCCCTCTTCTGTGGGGTTGCTGCAGTTTGCTGGGGGTTCACTTCAGGCCCTATTCATCTGATTTACTCCCGTGCCTGGAGATGTCACTCAAGGAGGCTGGAGAGCAGCAAAGATGGGTGCCTGCTCCTTCTTCTGGGACCTCTGACCTTGAGGGGCACCAGCCTGATGCCAGTAGGGTTGCTTCTATACAGGGTGTCTGACAACCCCTATTGGAGGGGCTCACTCAGTTGGGTGCAGGACCCATTTAACAAAGCACTTTGTCCCTTGGTGGAGAGGGTGTGTTTTGCTGTGGGAAAACCCACTAATTTGGGCTGCCCAGATTCCTTAGAACTGCCAGGAGGAGAGGCTAAGTCTGCTGATCCACATAGATTGCGGCCACCCCTTCCTCCAGGGGCTCAGGCACAGGGACATCTGAATTCTGTCTCTGAGCCTCCTCTGGCTGGAGTTATTGGAGGTCCTGCAGGGAAGCCCCACCCACTGAGGAAGGATAGGCCAGCATTGGGCCTGAAGAGGCACTCTGCCTGCCCTCTGCCGCAGCTGGTGTGTTGGGCTGTGACAGCAAGTCTTGGGACCAAGCAATCCAGCCTCCCTGGCTCCAGCAGGGAAAAAGCACAGCCTGGAGCTATAGAAATGAGTGCCACCCTTCCCCTGCCCAGGGAGCTTAGTGTGTTAGACAGTTGTGAGTCCTAGTGCTGGCTGCTGTGCCTCCCCAAGCAGATCAACCAGCTTAGACAGCAGGCAGCTGCAGCTGGTGCTGGTCGCCACTCCTGCCAGGAGTTCAGTAGGCTTAAGCAGATTCCAGCTGAGAGGCTGTAAGAATCGACATGTACCAGGGTTGGGATGGTTGACCTTGGTGGGATGCGTTTGAGAGTGGGATTTTCTGATCCATTCTGTGGAAAAAGCAGTTTCCCACTGGGTAGCACACTCACTCATCACCTCCCTTGACTGGGGGCAGGGGATTCCTCTTCCCCATGTGGCTCTTAGGTGGGCCTCCGCACTACACTGTTCTTCCTTCTCTCCATGGGTTACACCAGCCTTCTAGTCAATTTTGATGAGAGAACCTGGATTCCCTGGTTGCCAGTGAAGGACTCACATGCTTATTATGTGTTTTTCAGTGGGAGCCTCTGAGCGCCACTGCTTTCAGTTGGCTATCTTGGGCCCTCCCCCTATACTAAGTCTTGAAACAAGAAAATGGGGGTCCACTAGCTTTGTTCTTTTTCAAGATTGTTTAGTCTCTTGCATTTTCATATGACTTTTGGGATCAGCTTATCAATTTCTACAAAGAAACCCACTGGAATTCTGACAGAGATTGTGCTGAATCTGTATATCACTTTGGGGTGTATTTCTATCTCAACAATATTAAGTCTTCCAATCCATGAACATGGGATGTCTTGCCATTTATTTCAGACTTCTTAGATTTCTTTAAACAATGTTTTGTAGTTTTCAGAGTATAAGTTTTACACTTCTCCTGTTACATTTATTTCTAGGTATTTTATCTTTTTTGTTTTTGAGACATGGTCTTGCCCTGTCACTCAGGCCCAGGTGCAATGATACAATCATTGCTCGCTCCAACCTCTGCTTCCTGAGCTCACATGATCCTCTCACCTCATCCTCTGGAGGAGCTAAATATATATATATATGTACATAGCTACTCCAGAGTAGCTAATTAATATTATATATATATAGAGAGAGAGACAGAGTTTTGCTCTTGTCACCCAGGCTGGAGTGCAGTGGTGCAGTCTCAGCTCATTGCAACCTCTGCCTCCTGGGTTCAAGTCATTCTCCTGCTTCAGCTTCCTGAGTAGCTGGAAATACAGGTGCACACCACCATGCCTGGCTAATTTTTGTATTTTTAGTAGAGATGGGATCTCACCATATTGGCCAGGCTGGTCTCAAACTCCTGACTTCAGGTGATCTGCCCACCTTGGCCTCCTAAAGTACTGGGAGTACAGGCATGAGCCACCACACCTGGTCACATATTTTTTTCTTGGAGATGGAATTTTGCCATGTTGCCATACCTGATCTCAAACTCCTGGGCTCAAGCCATCCACCCACCTAAGCCTCTCAAAAGCGCTAGGATTACAGGCAGGCATAAGCCACTGCAGCTGGCCAAGTATTTTATTTTTTAAATGCTATTGTAAATTCAATTGTTTTTTAAATTTCATTTTGGATGGTTCACTGTCATTGTATAGAAATACAGTTGATTTTTGTACATTGATTTTGGTCCTATTGAACTTGTTTATTATCTCTAACAGTTTTTAAGTGGGTTCCTTAGGATTTCTATTTGGGAGATCATGTATGTCATCTGCCAGTAGAGATAACCTGACTTCTCCCTTCCCAATCCAAATGCCTTTTCCTTCATTTTCTTGCTGGAAGTCAGTTTTAGAGGTTCGTTACAGATTGTACACAGAGGGCTTGCTCTGCAAGTAGGCTGGGCACTGCTTAGGCAGAGCTATTGGGCCCATGGGAAGGGGTTGGCAGACAGGGCTCTGTTTGCTCTGCACATTTGTCTCTTATAATGACGTTTCTCTCTTGCCGCTTCACACAGCTAAGGTAGTTTTAAGAAATCCCGAAATAAGAAAACTTCCATGATCATGCCTGTAATCCCAGCACTTTGGGAAGCTGAGGCAGGAGATCACTTGAAGCCAAGAGTTCGAGATCAGCCTGGCAACATTGTGAGATCCTTGTCTCTACAAAAAATAAAAAATTAGCTGGGAGAGGAGGTGTGTACCTGCAGTCCTAGCTACTTGGGAGGCTGAGGTGGGAGGATCACCTGGGCCCAGGAGTTGGAGGCTGCAGTGAGCTATGTTCATGCCACTGCACTCCAGCCTGGGCAACGGAGCAAGACCCTGTCTCAAAAAACAAAAACAAACGAACAAAAAACACAGAAAGAAGAGATGGCTATGTGAAAACATGTTTATTTCAGCAGTATGTAAGTTACTGCTGCAATTCAGTTCTGTGTTAGCACTTCCCTCTGCCCTAATTTTCTGCTCCTCTAGCACACGGGGATGTTTACGTTAAAGGTATATCATATCTATGTATTTTTTCCTTTTTTGATTTCTCCATGATATTGCAGCAGAAGCACACACGGGAATATGGAAAAATCTTCAAGTCTCACTTTGGTCCTCAGTTTGTAGTATCTATTGCAGACCGCGACATGGTGGCTCAGGTGCTCCGGGCAGAGGGCGCCGCGCCCCAGAGAGCCAACATGGAGTCCTGGCGGGAGTACCGAGACTTGCGGGGGAGAGCCACCGGGCTCATCTCGGCGTGAGTATAGGGGGCCGGCTGAGCCAGGGGCTGGACGGGGAGCTCAGGGAGAGGCCCCTTCCTCCAAAGCTGGGTTCCTAAAAGCAGCTCTTAAGAAAGCACAGAAACCCCCATAAAGTGATGTCAGACAGCCTCCCTGTGTGATCTTCCGGACACAGGGGCAGCGGGGTCCTGCGGGGCTGTCTCCTCCTTTGTGCCAGAGTTGTGCCGTCGGGAGCCAGGTGGGGTGACACTGGCCCGGTGGCGGGCAGAGCGCTTCTGAAGCGGTGCTTTGTGGCTTTGGGTGTCCATTCAGTGACAACCGAGGCAGTCAAAGCTCACGGCGCCCTTGTCTGTGCATAGGGGAAGGAGGTGGTCACTATTTCAGGAAAATCCCTTTGAGGAGGGGTAAGAACCTCCAGCCTTAGTCACCACGTGGCGATTTTCCTGTCTCATAGCAGGCTGTGATTATTCATTTTGAACCAGCATCACCAACACCTCTGTGCCTTCCAAGAAAGAGATCATGGCCCGTGGCCAGGCAGGGAGGCCCAGGGCGCCTGCAGATACCCTGGTCCAGTTCCCATGGGGCAGGGCTTCTGTTAGCAGCTCTTTTTATATCTATGTCCTTATACATACATGAATTGGGGAGAAATACAGCCACCAATTTATCAAGTAAGATAATTAAGAATCATGACCAGATGTCACCAGGGTCCCCCAATTTTCATCCTGAGGGAAATAATTAAACAGTACCTCCTGGATGTTCAGGCGTAGAGAGCCCGAAGGCTGAGGCAGAATTTCTCTGCTGTCTGCCCCCTCAACTGCAGGCTCAGAAGCCTGTATGGGTGCCCAGAGGCCCTCTTGGGCTGAGATGGAGGCGGTGCTGGTGACTTCAGCACAGTGGACAGCAAAGGGAAGGGCAGTGCCCAGACCCAGATGCCTGCTGGCTTAGCTTGAGTCCCCCAAAGCTGATCTGGAGGTGAAGCTTTGAGTGCAAGTGGCCTCCTTGCAGGTGGGAAGCAGGGCAGGGATGGGAGGGAAGCCATTCAGGGGTGTGGAGGTGTGGGTGACTCTCGTGGGCAGTTGAGGCTCAGTCTTGGACCCTCTGAGAAACTGCAGAACACTCCTCAGACCTCCAAGGGGTTCTCACAGCGTCCTGCCCTCACTGGGGAGAAGTGTGCTTCTCCTACCTCCTGCCCTCACTGGGGCCTGCTACCTGGGCGCCCTCCGAGTGCAGCCAGGAGCTCCAAGGCCCCACACCCTGGTAACTGGCTGCAGTCACTATTTCTTTTTAAATACCATTTCCTACTTACTTCATTTATATATCCATATATATGCACATTTTTTCTCTTTTGCTAATCGGCAGTCTCATTTCTGTATTGCAATATTATTTCAAGATTTTTCAAAGGAAGTCATATTACTTTTGCTGAAGATGATTACCACTGGCAGTTTTTTTCCTTAAAGTTTGCTTCAAAGGCAAGAGTGTACGAAGCTCTAACAGGCTCCAGGGCTGCGGTTATAATTCCTCTCTCCCCAGCAAAAATTCCTGTCTTAATTCCACTTTGACTGGCAGATCTTGTGCATTCTTTATGGCTGAAAATTTTTCTCAGAGTTTCCTTGAATTCTTTCCCAGAATGTTAGCGTGAGTGAGATGATTTGAAACTCACTTCATTCTCCTAGGGAGGGTGAACAGTGGCTCAAGATGAGAAGCGTATTGAGACAAAGAATTCTGAAACCAAAAGACGTGGCTGTTTATTCTGGAGAAGTCAACCAAGTTATTGCTGACTTAATTAAAAGAATCTACCTCCTCAGGAGCCAGGCAGAAGATGGAGAAACCGTGACCAATGTCAATGACCTTTTCTTCAAATATTCAATGGAAGGTGAGGCGGAATCAGCAGGCGGGAAGGAGGGAGGAGTGGACGCTTGCCTCAAACCAGCAGATGTCATCATGGAGCATCCCCTGGGTCCCAGGCACTGTGCTGAGCCTGGGACATACATGCACGTCACCCCCACGGTGCTAGCGTGAAACTGGTGTGAACCACCATTGACCAGTGAGGAAACTGAGACTTAAGGAATAACTTGCCAATGGCACGCCCCCATCCCTCTTTTTAGAGTCAGTTTGTTTCAAATTCAGGTCTTTTAAACTCGAGAATCCATGTTCCTCATTGCTACACATTTTGTTTGAGCGTTTTTGGAAAGGAGCAAAGTTTAGAGGGCGTCTACTTCAGACTTGCTCTAGCTTTTAGTCATGTTGGATGGTGATACATTCCTGTTCAAATAGCAATACCAAAAGGGGGTCATTGAAGGTCTCCTTTCCTGAATGCAGCAAAGTTCAGTAGTCTCTCATGTTTCAAGAGATGTTTCATGCACATACAGAAAAATGCATGGGAATATTCTTTTTATTTTTAAATAATGAACGGCAGTACACCACACACATTATTCTGCCCCGTCCTTTCTCTTAAGAATGCATCTTGGATCCAGGTGTGGTGGCTCACACCTGTAATCCCAGAACTTTGGGAGGCCGAGGCTGGTGGATCACCTGAGTTCAGGAGTTCGAGACCAGCCTGGCCAACATGGTGAAACCCTGTCTCTACTAAAAATACAAAAATTAGCCAGGCCATGGTGTCAGGTGCCTGTAATCCCAGCTACTTGGTAGGCTGAGACAGGAGAATCTCTTGATCCCAAGAGGCAGAGGTTGCAGTGAGCTGAGATTGCACCATTGCAACAAGAGTGAAACTCTATCTCAAAAAAAAAAAAAAAAAAAAAAAGGATGCATCTTGGAGGACCTTCTATCAGCTTTCTCATCTTTTTTTTTTAAAAAAGCTTACCTTCAAGTTTCACTCAAGGGAACTTGGCAGAGTTCCGATATTAATGTTCTCTCAACATAGTAACAAAATCATCCTGGAAGTGAATGGTAAACACAGTGCGCAGCTCTGCCCGACACGGATCCATCCAGGCCACTTCTGCTGCGCCTTTAGCTCTCTGGGTCTGGGCTTCCCATTTTGGCCAGAAGGAGCCACTTTTCAGTTCCTCAGGACACAGGTTGGGCAAGTGGCTGGAAGGCGATCCCCAGTGGACAGGTGGGGCAGGAAGACGCCCTGTGGCATTTGTCACCTCCTTCCTGAAAGGAGGGTGTGGGAGGAGAGCAGTGACAGACTAAATGATGTCCCCTCCCTAAAGGCTCATCCTTTCAGACCCCTGCTCTAATCCTGTTCCAGGGTCCTCCTCTGCAACCTTGGCCAAACTACCTAAATTCTCAGAGTCTTTGCATCTCCTCCGGAGAGGGGGCTTCTTCATCTGTGTCTCCCAGGGCTGTGGGGCTCCTTAGATGAAGCAGCAATAGCACTGCCAGTCAGCCCTAAATGCCAGCAGCTCAGGATGCAGAGAAATCCTCAGAGCACCCTGCAGCTCAGGACGCAGAGAAATCCTGAGTGATGATGCCACATTCATGAAAGGCACCTAGACCACATTTGAAAGTTGCGTTTATGGTCCAATGTTGCCTGCTGCTTTGGTAAATAATCTAGATGAGGGTTTTCAAATTCTCTTTCCTGTCTAGGAGTGGCCACCATCCTTTATGAGAGTCGTTTGGGCTGTCTGGAAAACAACGTCCCACAGCTGACTGTGGAATACATCGAGGCCCTGGAGCTCATGTTTAGCATGTTCAAGACCTCCATGTATGCAGGCGCCATCCCCAGATGGCTTCGCCCCTTCATCCCAAAGCCCTGGCGGGAATTCTGCAGATCCTGGGATGGACTCTTCAAATTCAGTAAGAGAAGAATTGAGACCACCGTTTGCAGAAGCAGGTTGACCTGCCGTGTAGTGTTTCTAACTCTCATCCACAGCAGAGGAGGCTTATATGTAGTCATGTATCGGTTTTTGGACCCATAACTTTGGATTTTTTCTTTTTTTTTGAGATGGAGTCTTGCTCTGTCACCCAGGCTGGAGTGCAGTGGTGTGATCTCAACTCACTGCAACCCCTGCCTCAAGTGATTATCATGCCTCAGCCTCCCCAGTAGCTGGAATTACAGGTACCCGGCATCACCCCCAGCTAATATTTTTGTAGTTTTAGTAGAGACGGGGTTTCAGCATGTTGGCCAGGCTGGTCTCGAACTCCTGACCTCAGGTAATCGCCCACCTTGACCTCCCAAAGTGCTGGGATTTCAAGTGTGAGCCACCATACCTGGCCATGGATTTGTTTTTTAAAGAAACAAAAAGCATGTGGGTTGTGACTACAAGTAACATGATCAATTTTTCATTTTAAAACAAGTTTTATTTTAACAAGCATGCTAGCAGAGACACACACAAATAAATTTCCATGTGAGATGATGTCTTTAGTCCAAATAAATGGGTCAGTGTTTAAAATGTAGAGTTTCAGGCCCATGCACATTCATTTGAACATTACAATTTCTGTTCAAATCCAAGGTGAGATTACAAAGAGATTTATTTTCTTATGTGACTAAAAATTTTACTATAAAAGCATTTCCAAAAAGAAAGAAGTGATTTTCAGAATGCTTAGAACAATGCTCTAGAGCAATGCTAACACTGAAAAAGCGTGTCGTGGTGTCTTTTCAAAATCAACATTTAGGCCAGATACGGTGGCTCACACTTGTAATCCCAACACTTTGGGAAGCTGAGGTGGGCATATCACCTGTGGTCAGGAGTTCAAGACCAGCTTGGCCAACATGGTGAAACTGCGTCTCTACTAAAAATACAAAAATTAGCTTGGCATGGTGGCGCATGACTGTAATCCCAGCTACTCAGGAGGCTGAGGCAGGAGAATCCCTTGAACCCAGGAGGCAGAGGTTGCAGTGAGCCGAGATGGTGCCACTGCACTCCAGCCTGGGCCACAGAAAAAGAAAATCAACATTTATTTGAGTACATAAGTCCTGAAGTCTGTACTAAACAGTAACAAACAGATAATAATGCCTGGCCTTTTCCCGCCACTCATTTTCTCTTTTGGAAGTGTGCTAGAAAAAAAAGCATTCAGGCCGGGCGCGGTGGCTCACACCTGTAATCCCAGCACTTTGGGAGGCTGAGGCGGGTGGATCACGAGGTTGAGATCGAGACCATCCTGGTCAACATGGTGAAACCCCATCTCTATTAAAAATACAAAAATTAGCTGGGCATGGTGGCGCACACCTGTAGTCCCAGCTACTCGGGAGGCTGAGGCAGGAGAATTGCCTGAACCCAGGAGGCGGAGGTTGCAGTGAGCCGAGATCGCGCCATTGCACTCCAGCCTGGGTAACAAGAGCGAAACTAGGTCTCAAAAAAAAAAAAAAAAGCATTTGCATTTTTGTTACTCATATTATATAAATAATTTCTTTGGCTATCAGATTAGTGAAGCAAACATCTTACAGCTTGTTTTTAAAAAGGAAGATATGTTTAGCTTGTCTTTAACTTTTCATTCATTTACATGAGCAAGTGCATGAGTGAAGCTCCCAGGCTGACATTAGATAAATTAGGTGTCCTTGCCCTCTGTCACCTGCCACTGGTTTAGTTAAGTTACTGGGAGGACAGAGGGCACAGAGACTGAAAAGATGATTCTCAACCCAAACTCCTTTCAAAAGAAATACTGTTTTCAAACAGGCCAAATTCATGTTGACAACAAGTTGAGGGACATACAGTACCAAATGGACCGAGGCCGGAGGGTGAGCGGGGGACTTCTCACATACCTCTTCCTTAGCCAGGCGCTGACACTACAGGAGATATACGCCAATGTGACCGAGATGCTGCTGGCCGGCGTCGACACGGTGAGTCTGGGGGCCTGGGTCTCAACGAGCAACGCACAATAAACCCTTCTTCATCACCTCATCGACGTTGTCTACCTTTTTTTTTTGAGACAGTTTTGCTCTATCGCCTAGGCTGGAGTGCAGTGGCGCAATCTCAGCTCACTACAACCTACACCTCTCAGGTTCAAGAAAGTCTCCTGCCCCAGCCTCCAGAGTAGCTAGGATTATAGGCACCTGCCACCACACCCAGCTAATTTTTTTATTTTTAGTAGATATGGGGTTTCACCATGTTGGCCAGGCTGGTCTCAAACTCCTGGCCTCAGATGATTCACCCGCCTCGGCCTCCCAAAGTGCTTGGATTACAGGCATGAGCCACTGTGCCCGGCCGTTGTCTACTTTTCAGGCAGATTTGTTTAGCACCCTGCTCATGTTTGCACTGGGCCTGCTGCATGGCTGAGGGGCTCCAGGAGGGGAAAGCTCTGCATATGAAGTCAGGTGTCACTTAATGACACAGATTTGTTCTGAGAAATGCATTGTTGGGTGGCCCTGTCATTGTGCGAACATCTAAGAGTTATTTACACACGCCTAGATGGTAGCCTACTATACACCTAAGCTGCATGGTGCAGTCTGTTGCTTGTAGGCCACTTCAGGCAGCTGAAACACAGTGCTAAGTATGTGTATATCCAAACATACTTAAACATTGACAAGCTATGGCATAAGTGTGGTATTACAATCTTATGGGACCAGCATTGTATATTCAGTCCGTCATTGACCAAAACATCATTATACGATGCATGACTGTATATTAAAGGTCAGGTGCATAATGATTTCTGTGGAAAGCATAACCACAATTCCATTATCACACACACAAAGTCATAATAAACATTTAAAGTTAACAAATCATTCCTAATTTGTAAACATTTTGTCATTGTTTCATAATTTCACGCATGAAGAGGGTGTGGACATTAAAAACCTTATTATTTCTCATTTAAAATATTCTGGGCCATGGAATTCATTTTATAAAGCCCAGAAGTCATTCCATTCAACCCCTCATTTGTTCTATAAAGCCAGCAGCACTTCAAAACCAAAACCTGCTAAAGAGAGTGTAAATAAAGTAAACTTAAGCAGTTTGGTTGAGTGTGTGTGTGTGTGTGTGTGCATGTGCGTGCGCGCACGCGTGGGTGCATCAACAAATTGCCTGTGAATGGAACCCAGTAGTGTGGCAGATCAATGATATAACATGACCAGGGAGGGTTCATGTCAGAATGAGACACAGCACAGCCCATTGACTTGGGGGTAACCCACAGGCTATCCCATGAGAAGGGAAGAGGCAGACCGCGGTGTATACTGTGTCCTGTGAGTAAGACGCAGCGGCACCATCCTCCCCTAGGCTGTGTGCATGTGCACATGTGTCCATGACTGCGCGAACACAGAGCAGAGCGTGGAGGGAACCCACTCGGTAGTTAACCTGGGTTTCTTGGCTGGCTGGGGTGGCATGGTCCTAGGGGATAGGGAGACAAGTTCCTTTCAAAAACACATGTGTAATATGATACAATTTATAGGGTAAGTGTGAAAATGATCTCCATGTAGGTACAGGTGCAGAGCGGTTGCAAAATTTGCTAAAAGGAAGTGGCGAAACAGGGAAGAGCTAGGCTGATGCTTTCAGTAGGTGGAAGATAATGAAATTTAAACTGGGGAGCTGTGGGCTGGTGCTTCTGGTGCACACCCTGCCTGTCTCACCATTTCCTTTTAGGTAGGAGTCATTGATTTCTTTAACAGGTGGGAAAACCAAACAACCAGACTCATCATCGCAAAGCTTTTCCTTTGCACGGGTGCTTCCTGACCTTGAATAAGCCACATCCCGCACAAACTTCCATCTTAAAAAGAAAAAAAATCTCAGGGCTTTATTTTTATTTTAATGTCACTTAAGCATGTAAAAGCAAAAAACAAAACAAAACACAAAGCATAAACTCCTCATTCTTTTGGATCTTGGGCAACAGTAAAACAGAAATATTTGAATTAAATGCAAACCAAATGATACAATCAATTAAGATTCTAATTGACTATGTGTATGTGATGGCGTGGATTTGCTCAAATTAAGACACCACTTGAAAGGTGACGGAATGAATGAATGGCCTGGTCGCTGAGCTTGTGCCTCCTGCCCCCTGGTGGTAACTAAGAACATCACAATGAAGTGGCATTCAGAAGGAAGCTGTTCCCTTTAGTATCCTACCATAAAAGCCAGGGGACAAATTCTTACAACTTCATACTGATTTTTGAAAATCAATGTTGTTGTAGCATAATTTACGCGCAGTCAGCTGCATCTATTTAAGCTGCATAATGCGATACAGATTGTTGACAGATACAATCATTTATGAAACCATTGCCACGCTGTTCTAAACATTGAGGAGAATGGAATCACACACTATGCTATCTTTTACATCTGGCTTCCTGCACTCAGAAGAATGACTCGGATTCATCCATGTGGAGGCATACAACAGCAATTGATTCTTTTTTATTACCGAGTAGTATTCCATTGTATGGATATACCATATCTTTCATAAAAATATGATCTTAATAGAAATTTTCTATTCCCTTGATAGGAAGCATCTAAGTAATCTTTCATTATTTATCAGAGCTTGCACATTCTATTATGTATACAGAGGCCTGACCTCTTTATAAGAAAATAATATCAATGTTGCCTGCTTAAATTAGTTTTTTGTGTGTGAAAGAAAAATACCTTTACACTGTGGCATTTCCTTGTTTACAAGAGAGTAAAATACAGTCCCATAGATGATAGCATTGATTTTAGTGAAAATCTTGGGATCTGTGAGAATAAAATAATTCTTTTCAATAAGTAGAAAGGTTTGATAAAAGGTATAAAAAATGACACTGCTTTGCACCGATGAGGTATTGACTTGCTCTGTGTGGACCTTCTCTGATGAAGGCAGGGCACGATGGCTAACTTGTGATCTTCTGTGTGCTCCAGTCTCTAGATCAGAGTAGCCAGAATGGGCCAGACCCAGTGTCCTGGGCCTGGGAACGCCAGGGGCCCTTTCTGGCACACGCTGAGTAAGCTGACTAAGCCCTGCAAAAAAGGTCACATGAAGTCCCAGCAGATCCTCCAGGCTCTGCAGCATCCCTGACATATTGCTCTTCAGTGATTAAAAAATGTTCCAGGATCATTTTTCCTGTGGCTCTTCATGACAGGACCACGTGAATCACAGAGTCGACGTCACTTTCCAAATATATGCAATTATTATTATTATTATTTTTTGCCATGAATGAAGGAAAGAGTCTTTCGTTTCAGTAAGACATTAAGCACTGTATGGAACTGGGTGACTTTGACTTTGCAGCTGTGTATTCCCAGGGGACGACATACCTGCCACCGCATCTGTTTTCAATCCCTGGTGTTACTTATTGCCTGCCTCTGTCTGCCGCTTTCTCTCATTAGACGTCCTTCACCTTGTCCTGGACAGTGTATCTCCTGGCAAGGCACCCAGAAGTGCAGCAGACAGTGTACCAGGAGATCGTCAGGAATTTGGGGGAAAGGCATGTTCCAACTGCAGCTGATGTCCCCAAGGTCCCGCTGGTCAGAGCTCTCCTTAAGGAAACCCTGAGGTAAAAAGCTGGCCAGACTCCATCGACTAACTGTGTCCCTTAGGTCTGTGGTTTCTATCATACCAAGTCCTCCAGCTGCCCTTCACGGCTGACCTGTTTAGTATGTGGATGTTCCTCACTGTTACTTTTTCTCTGCTCTTGACAAAATAGCAGAAAGACCATTCTGTTTTATGAGTTGATCTAATCCTTGTTCTCTGTAATGATCTTTGGGTTGGGTGCGGTGGCTCACGCCTGTAATCTCAGCACTTTGGGATGCTGAGGCTGATCACCTGAAGTCAGGAGTTCAAGACCAGCCTGGCCAACATGGTGAAACCCTATGTGTACTAAAAATACAAAAAATAGCTCAGTGTGGTGCTGGGCACCTGTAGTCCAGCTACTTGGGAGGCTGAGGCAGGAGAATCGCTTGAACCCAGGTGGCGGAGGCTGCAGTGAGCCGAGCTCCCACCAGTGCACCCCAGTCTGGGCAACAGAGTGAGACTCCCTCTCGAAAAAAAAAAAAAAAGAACCTTTGGAGCAATCATTAAATATTGTTCCTGCTTTAGCCAATAGGCTCATCAGGGGTTTCCCAACATGTTCCTGGGTCAATGCCCTTTGACTTTGTTCCTCTGAAGATAACGCAAAACAAGATTGATTTGTCAGGAAAATAGTTTGGGTTGTTGGGCTGATTTCCAAACCCTGGCACAAACCTCATGGTACTTGTGTGAATGGCCTCATCGGGGTTGAGACCCCGCCCAGTGAGGCTCATTTACCCCAGACAGGGCTTTCCTGACAAACGGAAAAGCCAGAAGGATGTGGGTTGTCCTGGGTTGAGGTGATGCTTTGGATGGGAGATGGGATTAGGGGACGGATGAAATCCCTTTCCCAAAACAGCATCTCTGTGAAGAAATGCTGTGACGAAGAACAAAGCCTGTTTTCTGCAGTATGTACTAAAGAATTCTTTCAAAGCCGATTTGATAATGACCTTCAACCTAGGTAGCATGCTAATTAATCTCAAAAAAAAAGGGGGGGGGAGCTGGCTGTAATATTTATTGGTATTTGTCAGTTAAAGTTTTATTCAGGATTTTCTGAGATAATCTGATGGCTGAAGTATCTTTTCTCCAAATGCTGTTCATGGGACCTTAAATCCTATGAAGTATTCCTTGATAAAGAGGTCCAGTGGTCACAGAAAATATTAGAAACTTGGAACTTTCCCTGCTAGGAACACAATGTCATATTAAAGGCTTGGCTTTGTGCTTTGCACATTTTTTGCTTTGGGAATCTTTTCCACATTCCTCAGAATACTCGCTGGCAAAGCAAGCCAGCAAAGGTCCTTGCAAAATGTTTCAGTTGAAACTGTACCCTGTGTTGCTTTTTAAGAATTTTTATTGGAAACGGCACTATATCCAGGGTTCTGAATGTTCAGTAAAATATTGTGAAAGTCACCATATCATTCCTGTCCCCACTGGTTCCTTTGCAGGCTGTTTCCAGTGCTGCCAGGGAACGGCCGGGTCACCCAGGAAGACCTGGTTATTGGCGGGTATCTGATTCCCAAAGGCGTGAGTTTGGGGCCATGAGGGTGGGACCAGGCCTTGCGGGTCGGGGTTGAATTGGAACCTGCTTCTACCTTCAAAAAGTCTTTGTCCCTAAGCAGAGATCAATAGGTTTCCTTTTCTTTTGCATGTATTTTAAGAAGAAGAGGGGGCATTGGGAGAACGGAGGTGAACTGTGTGGTCTCATTGCTCTGGAAACTGCTCACTAGCAAGGCAGCCCATGCTCCCTGGCCTCCTCTCTAGTCTGTGTGGAAGAGGCTGGTCACTGCTGGGAGTCTCTGAAGGGTTTGAATGGCCTTCTCAGTGGCTGCAGTGACATTTGGAGTGCAGTGTGGAGCAGCAAGGGAGGGAGCTGCTGCCAACTGGATGTGTGTGGACCCAGGCGGCCCCCAAGTGGGAGGGGGGGACTGTCCAGCTAGGGCTCTGGGCCCTGCCCTGCTCTCAAGTGATTCCTCTCCTTAACCCTTTTCTGTCATCCCCGATTTTCTCAGACCCAGCTGGCCCTTTGCCACTATGCCACATCGTACCAGGATGAGAACTTCCCTCGGGCCAAGGAGTTCCGTCCTGAGCGCTGGCTGCGGAAAGGGGACTTGAACAGGGTTGACAATTTTGGGTCCATCCCCTTTGGTCATGGGGTTCGCAGCTGCATCGGGCGGAGAATTGCAGAACTGGAGATTCACCTCGTCGTGATCCAGGTAGGGTGTGCAGGCCAAATATTGGCCTTTGGGCTTGGCGTCTTTCTACCGGGCTTACCTGCATAAAGACTTCCAGCTTAAGAAGAAAATACGATTTTGGAAACTTAAGAGCAAGAGCTGTCAGGCATGGTGGCATGCCAGCTACTGTCAGGCATGGTGGCATGTGGTCCCAGCTACTCAGGAGGCTGAGGCGGGAGGTTCACTTGAACCCAGGAGTTTCAGGCTGCAGTGAGCTGTGATCTCACTCCAGCACTCCAGCCTGGGCGACAGAGTGAGACCCTGTCCAGAAACAAGAGCGCTGCATGAAATCCCTTGAAAATGCCTCCCCATCTCCCATGCTCACCCCACCCTGCAACCATGGTAGCCACCTTCAAACCCATGGCCACCTGCCTCGCTTCGCTCCTCCTTGGGATCATGTGGGTAGAGGACAGGCCATAGCCTGAGGATCGGAAGGGGTGTGTGCCACTGGGGTGCCAGGGTCTCAGAGCCCAGGTCTCCTGCCATCACACGATGCGATGCGTTAGGAGAGAGGGGAGCGGGGGTCAAATGAGTGGTCTTCAAATGCTAGGGAGCATAAAGCCAGCAGAGAGTGCCTTACAAGGCAGACTCCTAGCCCTCCCTGTGTGCAGTCACCAGTTTGCTGGGTCAGAGTGAGGGACCAGGGTGGCATCACTGCTGCTGCTGATGCCAATGGTGTGGTGCATGGGCTACACTCTGAGAAACCCTGGAGGTCTAAGCGAGGCCCTGTGGGGCTTGGGGACCCCATCCCCACCTCTAGTGGTCATGGTTGCAGTTAGGAGCTGGTATCTCAGGCACCTGCAAGAGCAGGTCTCCCAGGTAAGACATAGTGACCCTCTTGCTGGTCTCTGTTGTTTAACTGAGCCAACAATTTACACCAGCAGTGGTTCTCAAGCTTCTTAAGATGTGAAACATCAGGAAGCACCAGGTGTTGTTAGAGAACACCTTCGTGTTAAAATACATAACTCTGGGTTTGCCCCGTGTCTGGGTTCTGGCTGCAGCAGGAACTAAATATCACCTGAAGGAAATTTTATAAAAGAAAAGCTGATGGTGGAGAAAATTCTGCCTGTTAGGCTCTCCTGCAAGTCAGAGAAGACAGTTTTAGCGACGGGAAACCTGGCACCATCGTTGCCTGAGCATTGGGAGGATGTGGGGAGTGCCTGGTGACCTCATCTCCCCATTTTATTGATGAGAAAACCGAGGCTCAGAAAGCAGCAGCCACTTGCCAAGTCCCACAGTCAAGAACCAGTGTCTTGACTCCTTCCTCACAAGTCATGCAGGTGCCTCCTACAGGCTCACGGGGAGCCTGGAGCTGGGCAGAAGGGAGAGTGAGGGACCAGGGAAACCTGGCCTGCTGGGCAGAGCAGGAGAGGGATTCTGGATGGTCAGGACTGGTGTGGGCACTGGAGCTGGAGAAGGTGAGGGTCTACTGCCCAGGGAGGAGGCACAGAACGAGGTGTGGGGAGAACACCCACTGGCTCAGGGCTGGCTCTGGAGCCACAGGTGGCCCATGAGGCTCTGCTGGTGTGGGGCTGGCGGGATCAAGTGACCATCCCACCTGCCTGAGATGTGGCCGGTGCCCCTGTCCCCAGGAGCATGTGAGCGGCAGCTCGGGTGTGTGGGGAGCTCAGGGTAAGCCAGCTTCACCCCTCGATCTGCTACTTGCTGGCTCCGGGACCTTGGCAGGTTTCTCAGCCACCCGAGCCTGTTGCCTCATTCACAGAAGGGGCCAAATCCCTGCCTGACAGATGTGTGAGGAGTAAAAACAGTCCATGTGCAGAGTGTGTACTCAAGAAGTGGAAGCTGTTCTCATCCTCTGCACTAAGTCAGCGTGGGGAGTGCTTTCAGGAAGGTCTCAGCTCCTTAAAATGCTGCTGTGCCTCTCGGAGCCACTGCGCCCTCCCGAAGGGCATCTGTGAGTTGAGAGGGAGGCTTGTTGCCCCCGGGCTCTGACTGCCTGGAGAACCAGGGGAGACATCCAAGCCAGAGGCCAGAGGTGAAATGGGGTTTGAAGCTCATTGTGTGATCTTGTTTGCTGCTGTTAACATACGGATATACCTGCTAAAAAGATTTTGCTTAAAAGGTCCTCATTTTGCCGGGCGCAGTGGCTCACTCCTGTAATCTCAGCACTTTGGGAGGCCGAGGCAGGCGGATCACTGGAGGTAGGCAGTTCGAGACCAGTTTGAGACCAGCCTGACCAACATGGAGAAACCCCATCTCTACTAAAAATACAAAAACTTAGCCAGGTGTGGTGGCACAAGCCTGGAATCCCTGCTACTCGGGAGGCTGAGACAGGAGAATCGCTTAAACCCAAGAAGCGGAAGTTGTGGTGAGCCAAGATTGCGCCATTGCATTCTGTGCTGGGCAACAAGAGTGAAACTCCATCTTCACCCATGTGGCATATTCAGGAATGCAAGGATGGTCTGCCTAGAGAAAATCTGTTGGTACAATTCACCACGATAAAGAGGAGAAAAATTACATGATCACCCCAAAAGATAATTGATAAAATTCAACACCATTTGGTGAAGAAAGTCTCTTGGCACATAAGCAGCAGTGGGCCTTTCTTTCTTTCTTTCTTTCTTTCTTTCTTTCTTTCTTTCTTTCTTTCTTTCTTCTTTCTTTCTTTCTTTTTTTTACTTTAAGTTCTGGGATACATGTGCTGAACGTGCAGGTTTGTTGCATAGGTACACATGTTCCATGGTGGTTTGCTGCACCTATCAGCCCATCATCTAGGCTTTAAGCCCCACATGCATTAGGTATTTGTCCTAATGCTCTCCCTCCCCTTGCCCCCCACCGCCGACAGGCCCTGGTGTGTGATGTTCCGCTCCCTGTGTTCAGGTATTCTCAGTGTTCAACTCCCCACAGTGTGGCCTTTCTAAGCCAAATAAATGGCATCTGGCCCAACAGTACAGGGAAATGCCTGAAGGCTACTGGGAAGGAAAGGAACAGCTTTCATTGTGTGGTATTAATGTGTTCTCTTAAAATCGGGAGAAAGATATTTGATTGAACAGAAGTATGTTTGGAAGATCCACCCCAGCTCCCTGGGAGTTGGAAACTGGATGTGGGGGAGGGGACAATGTTATCTTTTGCCTCCTGCATAGTTTTAACTTTTTTCAACAAACCGCTCAGAAAGGGAAAAATACTGAGCGGCATGATGGCCTTGAAGTCAGGAGACCCATGTGTGAATCTTCCCTCTACTGCATGGGAATGAGCAGGCATTTCCGAGAGGTCAGCGCGAGGGGTCAGAGGTTAGGTGTTTAGGCTGAGCTACCCAGATGCCAGCACACGGTGGAGCTGCCTGAACACATGCGGTTCCCTTCATTTCTTTAACAGTGAGGAAGGCATGAGTTCTGCCTGCGTCCCCATTGCAAGCCTTGACTCTTGAGCCCTGGTGCCTGCCTGACTCCATCTGGAGCCCCATCCCATCCTGAGTGCAGCTTCCTTGCCTGGGAGACAAAGCTGGAGAGAGAGAAAGAGGAGGATGGGGACAGCCTGGGTAGCTCAGCCTAAACACCTAACCTCTGACCCCTCGCGCTGACCTCTCGGAAATGCCTACTCATTCCCATGCAGTAGAGGGAAGATTCACACATGGGTCTCCTGACTTCAAGGCCATCATGCCGCTCAGTATTTTTCCCTTTCTGAGCGGTTTGTTGAAAAAAGTTAAAACTAAGTAGGAGGCTGTGGTTCACTGGCTCATCTGCCCCCTGCACTGTCCAAATGAGCTGAAAGCAAGGCCCGCCCTCCCCCCAGGAGTCTGTCTGTGGACAGAAGTCTTTAGATCAGGTTACTTGCGTATTTCTAAGCACAAGACTGGCTTTGAACATCAAGCCCTGGCCAGCCAGTGGGGGAGGTGATTGCTTTAGGGTGATGGCTATTTTGGTGTTTTTCAAACTCAGTGTGTAGGTACATTCCAGTGTCACCCCAGGAGGCAGGGCCGGTTCTGCTTTTGAACTGTAGAAATGAGAAATGGAATCAAAGGTACGAACCAAGAATATTTAAATTCAGGACATGAGCACGATGAAGTCTTTTGGATTCAGCTCTCTCCGCCTCTGTTTCTGGCCTGGTCTGAAGTGGCTGCAGATTCGGAAGCAGCAGGAAACACAGAATTTCACTTTGTTCCACATTTCCCCCTGCTCCTTTCACGCCTTCTTTATCTACACCTACAAGGGAAGCAACAGAGTTAGAATCTGAAATGGTGAATGAAACTTAAGCCATCTGAGCATCTGCCTGCATCTCTATCCCACCGGCTGTGCGGCTGCGCAGCTGCTCAGCAGACGTGCCAGGCTCTGGTTCGGGATCTAAAGTTCTGCCCCCAACAGTGAGCTTCCTACTGACCCCGAGGTTCTGTAGCTTCAAAAAATGACCTGGGTGCTTATTGCCTCTGCTCTCTGCAGCCCAGTGCCCACAGGAGGAGTCAAAGCATTCAGGGAGCACTGGGAGTTTTCTGCTGTTCCAATTCTGACCCTTCTCTCTCTTTCTCTTCTTAGTTGCTTCAACATTTTGAGATCAAAACGTCTTCTCAGACTAAAGCTGTTCACGCAAAAACCCACGGGCTCCTGACGCCAGGGGGGCCCATCCACGTGCGATTTGTTGACAGAAAGTAAGCCTGGGTTTTAAACCTGGGCTGATGTAGCAGACCAGCTCGCCAACACACACTGGCAGAGGAAGGCAGCATCGCTAGAGTCTGTCTCATGATAGGCTGGCCTCCTGGGTCCCGGGACACTTGTAAATCTTTATGCAAAGCAATGTAAAATGGCTGCTGTTTTACTGGTGCATACCAGAAGTCGCCTTTTCTTTGGGGGAAACAGCTGATTAAAAAGCAGGGGCACAGAATATTCATGCTTCACACATTGTGCGAGACTCAGTATTGAATGACTGGCAGTATTCTGTGCATTTACTTGTACAGGGAAATGGTGGTTTACTTACAAATTCAGTTAATTGAATGTATGTTCTCTAATACTGGCATCCGGGCTCTATGTTAGAAGGCGATTTCAACTTACTGTTTCTAATTTGAAGAGGGAACATTAAGAATGCCTCTGTAATACTGTCATTATGGGAAGAAAACACCAGAGGCAATATTTTATCCTGAGCAACAGATTTAGATCCTTTTGAAGGGCTCAAACTTAAAAGGGCCAGCCGGGCCTGGTGGCTCATGTCTGTAATCCTGGCACTTTGGGAGGTCAAGGTGGGAGGATTGCTTGAGCCAGAAGTTCAAGACCAGCCTGGGTGACATGGTGAAACCCTGTCTCTACAAAAAATAAAAAAATTAGGCCAGGCATGGTGGCTCATGCCTGTAATCCCAGCACTTTGGAAACCGAGGGGGGTGGATCATGAGGTCAGGAATTCAAGACCAGCCTGGCCAAGATAGTGAAACCCCGTCTCTACTAAAAATACAAAAATTAGCCAGGTGTGGTGGCAGGCTCCTGTAATCCCAGAAACTGAGGAGGCTGAGGCAGGAGAATCACTTGAACTCGGGAAGTGGAGATTGCAATGAGCTGAGACTGTGACACTGTACGCCAGTCTAGGCGACAGAGCAAGACTTCGTCTCAAAAAAAAAAAAAAAAAAAAAAATTAGCCAGGCATGGTGGTGCACACCTGTGGTGCCAGCTACATGGGAAGCTATTGCAGGAGGATCATTTGATCTCAGGAGGGTGAGTCTGCAGTGAGCTATCTATGATGGCACCACTGCACTCCAGCCTGGGCGAGAGTGAGACTCTCTCTCAAAAATAAAATAAAATAAAAGGGCTGTATTCTTACTTTTCTCTCCGAAGCTAGTGCTTAATTTTCTTGTCATAACGCCTGATGAAGTTGACTATTAGTTTTTATTTGGAGATAATAAAAAAGAAAGCTCCTGGTGAAATCAAGAATAATTCGATTTTCTAACCAAATCTAATCATGGAGCAGAGTAGCGTTTAAGAACTGGAACTATGACTGTGTAAAATTTTGTGGCCTAAGTTGTGAGAAGCAATTAAACAGGCAGCGTGGCAAACAATGTAACTTTAGAATACCTTGATTTCAAGGAAAAATAAATACATAAATAGAGATGCTACAGATAAGACAATATTTTTATCTTCTTGGTGTTCTTGTAAATATCCACAAGAGAACCCTGACCCAGCTTCGGGCTTGAGCCAGGCTCTCAGGGAAGCCCTGTCTCCGGGAGGGCTGGGTCCTGCTGAGTTTTGTTGCCTTCCTGCTGCTCACTGGTTGCTAAGAGGAGATACCTGGCCGGGCTCGGTGGCTCATGCCTGTAATCCCAGCACTTCAGGAGGCCGAGGTGGGCAGATCACGAGGTTAGGGGTTCGAGACCACCCTGGCCAAAATGGTGAAACCTCGTCTCTACTAAAAATACAAAAATTAGCCGGATGTGGTGGCGCGCACCTGTAATCCCAGCTACTCAAGAGACTGAGGTAGAAGCATTGCTTGAACCAGGGAGGTGGAGGTTGCAGTGAGCCGAGACTGAGCCACTGCACTCCAGCCTGGATGACAGAGTGAGACTTTGTCTTAAAAAAAAAAAGAGGAAACACCATGATTTCTTGTTGCTCTTGCCTTGTCTTCATGCCTGAAATATCTGATTCCCAATTCCATAATTTTCTTTACATAATCCTTCTCCAAAAATTACTTCCCTACTAAGATAGACCATACAGGTTTTTTTTTCCATTTAGTAAGTCACTCTGCAAAATAACCCTTAAGTAAAATAGACATAATATCCATTTCACATACCATTTTTGTTAAAGTATATAATAAGGTTGAAATCTTTGTGTGATAGCAGAATAACTCTAGTATGAACGCTGTCAGTGTACAGGTAAATGTAAAATTGGGTCTATTAACTGGCCAGGTGTTGGATTGATTACTCTAAGGTGGCCGTATATGTATGTTAAGTTTTATAAACTAGATGAAACTGCATTCTGTTTGAGGCTGAAATTTAAAAATATTGAGAGTAACTAAGAGACTTGAAGTGCCCTCTTATTCCCTGGGTGTATAGGCAGTGTGCCCTTCTAGTGAAGTGTGTCTCTGCCCGGGGATCAGCACAGGGTGAATAGAAAGTACCTGTGCCCATTGCTCAGTCTCACTGAACAGGAAGGGAAGCAGCCAGACAGGGGGGGCCTCGTGATGTGATGTAGCGGGAAGTGCAGAGTGCCACCCAGGAAGCATCCGTGCCAAAGAAACAGCAATTCAGCTGGACAAGTTTCTAGGTTCACTACTGGTTGGTGGGAAATATGGGGTATACAGGGAAATGTCAAAATTCCATGGGGGGCTGGGCATGGCAGCTCACACCTGTAATTCCAGCACTTTGGAGAGACTGAGGAGGGAGGATCGCTTGAGGCCAGGAGTTTGAGATCAGTTTGGGCAACATAGGGAGACCCTGTCTACTAAAAACAAAAAAAGAATTAGCTGAGTATAGTGGTGTATGCCTGTAGTCCTAGGTATTTGGGAGGCTGAGGTGGGAGGATTGCTTAAGTGAGCCGTGATCTGCCACTGCACACCAGCCTGGGTGACAGAGTGAGACACCATCTCACACAAACAAACAAACTCCATGGGGATGCAGTCAGCAAAATCCAGAATAGAGCGAGGTCTATAGGGCCAATGTCTTGGGTTTCCAACAAAACAGTAAGTGACAGGTAAAGAACAAGGGGAGGGGCCGGGTGCGGTGGCTCAGTCCTGTAAACCCAGCACTTTGGGAGGCTGAGGCCAGTGAATCACCTGAGGTCAGGGGTTCGAGACCAGCCTGGCCAACGTAGTGAAACCCCCCTCTCTACTAAAAATACAGAAATTAGCTGGGCATGGTGACGGGTGCCTGTAATTCTGGCTACTCGGGAGGCTGAGACAGAAGAATCGTTTGAACCTGGGAGATGGAGGTTGCAGTGAGCCAAGACTGTGCCACTGCACTCCAACCTGGGCAACAGGAGCAAAACTCTGTCTAAAAAAAAAAATCCACAAAAACCCAAGAGTTGGGGAGAACAGTTAGAGATGAAGCAATAGGAGACATATGAACCAAGTGCAGATTCAAATAAACCACTCGTAAAAAGACATTCGAGAGATAATTTAAAAAATAAAAGCCAAAAATATTAATTCTCCCAATCAATCAATGAAAAAGAGTGCAATTTGGGGAAATTTGAATGCTGACTGTGTGTATTTGATGATATTTGGGAATTACTGTTAATTTTTTTTTGGTGTGATAATGATAGTTACGTTTAAAAAAAGAGATCTTATCTCTTGGAGATATCACTTAAGAGTATAAATGTTTATGGCTGAAATGCCATGGCATCTTGGATTTGCTTTAAAATAACCCAGCTTGCTGTGGAGGGGCGGGGGTGGGTAATGTTTATGGCTGAAATGTTATGGCATCTTGGATTTGCTTTAAAATAACCCAGCTTGCTGCGGGAGTGAGGCGGGTAATGTGTGTGTGGGAAGGTGGGGAGGCTTCGGGAGGAAGAGATGGCCCGAGATTCAGCAGATGTTGCTGACTGTGGAAGCAGGGTGATGGGGCGGGGGTGGCGCATGACACGGTGCTCTCTACTTTGTGTATATGTGAACATTTCCATAATAAAAGATGCCTTCAGAAACAAAAGACTGATCAATAATCTCATCATTTATTCCTTTTTCATTCCTATTCACTATTACCAGCACAACTGATTGTGAATTAGGCTCTGCAAGAGCTCTACCTTCCTTTTCAATAGCATTAGAGGCCGAGCGTGATGGCTCCCACCTGTAATCCCAGCATCTGGAGAGGCGGAGGTGGAAGGATTGTTTGAGGTTAGGAGTTCAAGAGCAGCTTGGGCAATAAAGTGAGTCCCTATTTCTACAAAAAAATTAAAAAATCAGCCAGGTGTGATGCATGCCTGTAGTCCCCGATACTGAGGAGGCTGAGGTGGGAGGATTGCTTGAGCCCAGGAGATCGAGGCTGCAGAGAGCTGTGATCTCCCCATAGCACTCCAGCCTGAGTGACAAAGTGAGACCCTCTATCTCTTAAAAAAAAAAAAAAGTATTAGAAATGATTGATTTAACACACTGCAAACGTACAAGTGTTGTGATAAGATTTGGGGGACCTGCCAGGGCCCAGGTAGCCTTTGCAGCTGAGAAGTAAAGACAGGACAAGTCAGATAGCAGGAAGGAAAGAGAAGCAGGACCCTGGGGTCCCAGTGGAGGCTAAAAGGGGTCAAACCACAGGGTGTGACAGCAGAGGGTGGTGGGCACTCCCTGCCTGAAGGCTTTCAAACTTCATTTTTTTTTTTTTAGATGGAATCTCACTCTGTCGCCTAGGCTGGCGCATACTGGCACAATTTCAGCTCACTGTAACCTCTGTCTCCTGGGTTCAAGCAATTCTCCTGCCTCAGCCTCCCAAGTAGCTGGGATTACAGGCTCCCACCACCATGCCTGGCTAACTTCTTTGTATTTTTAGTAGAGACGGGGTTTCGCCATGTTGGCCAGGCTGGTCTCGAACTTCTGACCTCAAGATACACCGGCCTTGGCCTCCCAAAGTGCTGGGATTGTAGACGTAATCCACTGTACCTGGCCTTCAAACTCCATTTTTAAGAATGTGCTGGGCAAATGAAAGGGCTCAGCTGCTGGCCGGGTCTGGGAAGCTGGCCAGGGGTCATGAGTGAGGCACAGGACCAAGCACAAGCAAATGCCAGCATGAAGTGGCTCCACAGCCCCTTCCAGGCCGAGGCAAGCACACCCATCAGGAAGGCGAGGGACAAGCACAGGCACAGAAGCAGCAGAGCCATTTAGGTAAAAGTAAAAAGGAACTTATCAGAGGGACACTGGGCATTTGCTAAATGGAAGGACCAGCAGACCAGCCAAGCATCAGCCAGGGCCATCCAGGGACCTTGGCTGAGGATCCAGGTCTCCCCAGTTGCTTGTGCACATTTCAGCAGCTCCCCTGAGTGGCTTGGCCTGTGATGGACAGGTGCTCTGACAAAAGCCCGGGGGGGGGCGCTGAGCTGGCAGCCACAGGTGTCCACTGGCCAGCATCGCTAGTCACTGGGTTACATGTCCTCTCTCCCTTGTGTCCTCTTACCCTCAGGGTCCCTGCATACCTGGGTGTCATTTCCAGCCCCTCCCTATTCCACTATTCCACTTCCAATGAAGCCTTGGGCCATTTTCAATATATCTTTTATTTATTTATTTTTTTGAGATGAAGTCTTGTTCTGTGGCCAAGGATGGAACACAGTGGTGCCATCTCAGCTCACTGCAGCCTCTACCTCCCGGGCAGGATTCTCCTGGCTCAGCCTCCTGTGTAGCTGGGATTACAGGTGTACACCACCATGCTCAGCTAATTTTTGTGTGTATATATATATGTATGTATATTTTTTAGTAGAGACAGGGTTTCACCATGTTAGTCAGGCCGGTCTCGAACTCCTGACCTCTGCCTCAGTCTCCCAAAGTGCTGGGATTACAGGCATGAGCCACCGCACCCGGCCTAAGTTTTGTATTTTTAGTAGAGTCAGGGTTTTACTATGTTGGCCAGGTTGGTCTCGAACTCCTGACCTTAGGTGATCTGCCCACCTCTGCCTCCCAAAATGCTGGGATTACACGTGTGAGTCCCCACGCCAGGCCCCAATACATCTTAGGTCACTTCCTGGAAAGAAAACGTTCTCCAACGACTTTTAGCCACTGCCACACTCTCATTTAATAATGAAAACATCCAGTCCAGTGTAAAGAAAACTTTGCTTAAAACAGCATCTCTCCTCCCTCAGCTCAGGGCGGCAGTGGCTGGATGCTGGCAGGGCTGGGCATCTATTTCCTGCCTTGCTCTACCCCACTCCCACCCTAAGCTCTCAGGCTTCTTTGGTTTGGAGCTGGGGGAGGAAGAAGGGGTGGGGTGAAACAGGAGCCCCTTGAGTGATGCCTTGGAGACCTGACCTGAGCCTCTTCACCCTGGGCAGACACAGATGCAAAACGAACTCTTTCTCCTGGGTTCTTTCTCAGGACTTTTCCTAAACGGGAAGCCTCCAAGCAGACTTACCAAGAAACCAGTAGTGCCTTTCCTCCAGGCGGCTTCTTATGACTGCCCGTCAGCCTTTGGCATGCGGGGCCCACGTCCGCCTGGGAGCTAGACCCCTCCAAGCACTTCTCCTGGGCAGAACCTAAAACCCTCCCACAGACTCCCCTGTGTTTCACCCTCTCCCCACCAAAGATCCATGAGTGGAAAAGGGAGTTCTGGTCACTGGACTTTCCCTGTCATTTACAGAACAAGAACAATGGAGAAGAGAGTGAATCTATAAATCTAAGCAGCAGAACTGCAGACACGCGGTGTGACTCAGTCTCGGACTCAACTTCTCCCTTGGCAGAAAACTTTTAGAGGGTCCTGAAATTTTATTTTCTTTTGCAATATAAATAGTGTAATACTGTATCATTCCACGACTTGTTCCCCCATTGTTTTAAGTGATTTATTAATGTTGCTACAAGTGAATTTGCTTCTTTAATTTTAACTCTTCACAGTATTTCAAGGTACTGATATAGCACCATCTACTTACCTATGTTCTTGGAAGAAGCCTTTTCAACTAACACTTTCTTTTATTATAACTACTATTGTTTTTATTATACTGATGTAGAGGAAAACGTCAAACAGCCACAAAAACAGAATAATGAACCACCATGTATCCAACCTCAAAAATTTCTAACGCCCCATTGCCAATCTAGTTTCACTGATACCACCATCTGCTGGAGAACATCACATTTATTAAGAGTTCAGCATAGGCTGGGCGCGGTGGCTCACGCCTGTAATCCTAGCACTTTGGGAGGCTGACGTGGGTAGATCACCTGAGGTCAGGAGTTCAAGACCAGCCTGGCCATCATGGTGAAACCCCATCTTTAAAAAAAAAAAAAAAAGAGTTCAGTATATATCTCTAAAACATATGGATTCTTTAAATAAAACCCATAATGCCATAAAATAGCTAAAAATTTAATAATGATGCATTATAATTATCATATCCAATCAGTATTCAAATTTTCAATTGTCTCATAAATATAAAATTTTAAGTAGTTTGAATCTATTCAGATAATGCCTATTCCTTCAGATGGACAGATTTGTATCTTAAATATCTTTTAAGGTTCTCCCTCTCTCCCTCTCTTCCTGTCTCTCTCTTAAAATTTTTTTCTTGCAGTTTATTTCTTGAAGAAACTGAATTGTTTATCCTGTGGAATTTCCCACAACCTGAATGTTGCTTATCTCATTCCTATGGCATCATGTTCTTCTATCCCCTGTTTTTTCCTAGCTAGATCTAGAGGTCACTCTCATTTTTAAATAATTTAGCTGAGTATAAAACTCTTTACTGGTGGTTGTTTCCTCTCGGCATTTTGAGGATGTTATTCTGTTGTCTTACACTTTGGTTATTGCTATGAGAAGTCTGAGGTCAGTCCATTCTCCCTCTGCAGGCAATTTATAATTTCTCTCTGGCTGTGGTTGCTCTTGGTCTTGAAGTTCTCCTATTTCATTATTTTTATTTATTTTACTTATAGCTCATTTAAAAAAAAACTCCCTGAATTAGAAGATGTATATCCTTCATCAATTCTGGAGAATTCTCAGCCATTATTTTCTTGAATATTGGTTTTCTCTGTTGTCTTCACATGCTCCTTCAGGAGTTTCTAGTAAACTGAAATTGGATCTTCTTTCTTCGTTCTGTGATTCTTATCTTTTCTTTCAAACTTTTCACCTCTTCATGTCTCTTGAGTGGCATTCTGGGAAATTTCTTCAGTCTAGCTTCCAGTTCCCTATTGCTTCTTCAGCTACATTTTGTCTGCTGCCCATCATTTCAATAATTGTTGTTTTCAATTCTATAAACATCGTGTGGTTTATTTTCAACCATGCCTTGTCCTTATCTTAACAATGTCTTGCTCCTGTACCATCCCTTGACTCCTTCTTTTATTGAATGATTGTAAGCACACTTATTTTATAATCTGCCTCCGTTTCTTCTGTTGTTTGCAGTTCTCTGGAGTTGAGTTATCTGGCTCACTGTTGCTTAGACTGTTGCTCCCTCTGGCTTGTTCCCTCGTTTGCTTTGTGGCTTGGGCCAAGCATCCCTGTTGGTGGAGCTTTACTTGTAGAACATGTGCAGCCCAGACTGAGGGTATGTTCCTCAAAGGAGCTTTGGATTTGTTAACAGCTTGGAACTGCTATTCTTATTATTTCTCAACAGCGGGATTCCTGGACAATGTTTTCAGGCAGGCCTGAGGCTGTGCATTCTCATGGAAACATTTTGAGACAATCTGAGATAGACACAGTCTTTTGTGGCCAATTTTGGTCAATGGATAGATTTTTATTTATTCTCCAAAAGTAGAACCCTTTGATAATCCTCTTTGTGGGGTGGCCTTGCTTCTAACTCCCCTCCTCTGAGCCTGGACCATATTGCTTTCCTCCGTGGTTAGTGAAACAAGCCCCTTGGAAACTGCTAGCCTCCCCATCCAAGGCAGCCAAAGTGTCAGCCCCACTGACATTTGTGGTTTTCATTCTCGGTGGTAGGTAATGTCCCCTGCCCCAAAGATGCCCACGT